GCGGGCGCCCTCTGTGGGACGCAGTGCGGCTTCGTTTGTACTAATCGGCTTCGTTTGTACTAATCCGCCCCCCGGACGGATATGTCTAGGCACTATGCAAGGATGATGGATCGCCAGGCGCGCGCGACACTGCGCGCAGCTGGTGCAGCGCGCGCGACGGGGGTCGCACGAGGAGCAAGAAGGCGGCCTGCCTGGTGCAGCTCGGTCGCATTTCCATTTGGGTGAAGCACAAAGTCTCGGGAAGTGGCCCGCATCACTCGGATCGCATGGACTCGAAAGCCGTCGCGGCGGCGGCCTCGGACAATGCGCCTTCATGCTATAAACGCAAAGAGCGGTCCGCGGAGATCGAGCCGGTTGTGCTGGGTCATCGCAAACCCGATTCGGTTGATCCTTCTCGTCGTCAGCATCATTCTGGTCTTTATTCATACTTCTTGCTGTTCGTTTTCATTGGCGCCAGCACCTGAAACAGGCCGTTCGGGTACTCTCCTTCGTTCTTCCTGTACGCCAGCGCATTCGCTCTGGTCCAACCAAAGCCGTACACGAAGTTCTTCTCTCCCGCAAGGAGACATTCATCCGACACGTCCATTGCTGAGCTGATCCGTACGGTTTCAACCTTTTCCTCGCCGTCCCGTTCTGGTTTGCAATCAAGAAGGCGACTCTCACTGGAAGCACGTCGTTCACCGGTGCTCGGACAGCCGTACAGTTTAACGGTTCATACCAGAAAGGGGAGGATTCGGACGCTCTCTTCGTCCGGCCGAACTATCTGTACAACCACGTTAGCGTTGTTGGAGATGGTAATAAGGAGACGGACCTGTTTCAAGGACTCTTGTTTGCGTGCGGAGACTACCCCGTTTCAAACTTGACCTTCAATGCGACGTCAACGACAACACTCACTCTGCCAGATTCGGCAACCAGGTTTGCCCTTGCATTCCAAAACATCGTTCGAAGTTTCTGACCTGCTCGCAGATTTCGCAATGTTCCTCGACTTTTGTGCAGTTTTCAGACGCAGCGCCGCCTCGCCGCCCGTCTACTTGGAGCTCGCCGCGGTGCCCGTCGACAGACTTTAACTACTGCAAGATCATGGAGCTCGGCGTGCTGTACCTGTACTCGCTGCGGCAGACTTCGTTGTAGGCCACAACTCTCGGTGCTCACCCTATTGAAAAACTTGCGGGCTACGGCGCCATCTCTGCTTAGTTTATTTATCCGAATTATCACCCCTCACCAGTCGCACGTCAAGCAGGATTCGTTACATAGGTTGCATTAAAAATCCTCATCGTTCTCGCAGTAGATGCAGATTCGAAAAATCAAGAGCTTTATTTCTTCGTTTTTCGTTTTCTCTTGCTCTTCAAACAGTTGGAGTAGTATTTTGCTCTATTCATTTCGAACAGACAACTGTGCAAGGCCAGCTTTCTCCCTGCAGTGCACCATTTGGCGACGCCGCCAATGTCCCTTGCCTCGCTCATCTTGCAGTCGGACAAAAGTGCCCCCGCACATCCGCTGCCTCCACCCAGCTATTCCCCCACCACCACCATCACGCCTCGCGCTGCCGTTCGCTCTGCAGCTGCTTCTCCTCATCACCTCCCTATCGCGAGTCCACGCCGCACCCGCACCCAGCAACCACCACAGCCACTCCCACCGCTTTGCAAAGATTGTCGCGTTCGGCGACTCGTGGTCCGACACCAGCAACTTTTACCGCCGCGTCTCCAACGGAACGTGGCCGCCCGCACGCTACAGCAACGGGCCAGTGTGGCTGGAGACGGTCGCGCTGCCGAGGTTCTTGGATGCCGAGTTGGTTGATTTCGCTTATGTGAGTTTTGTGTTGGTGTGTGGATGGCACTGTCGTTGACGCCGATAACCAAGGGTGGTGCCTCGACCAACGGGGCGACGCTGCACGGGAACTCTGGTCCCAGCAACACCCCTTCGCCATCAGTGAACGAGCAGATTGACAATGATTTTGCGAACTACCTAAAGAACAAGTAAGTGGGACTTTTTTTTGGGTCAACCTTGACCTGCAAAGGTTACTTAATAGAAACCTCTGCCAGGACCTCGACGTTAGCACCTTTCTAATGTACTTTTGACCGATCAACACGTTTATCATACTCCTACAGCCGTCCACCACCGTCCTGGAAAAAATTTCTAAGTGAGGGCCGAAGAAAAAAAAAATAAATTCTTTGAGGCCAAGTTTACCTTGCACAGACCCAAGCCCAGGACATGAGGGCAGGACCAGTAAGCAAGCCACACGCGTAGAACATGATTTCGGCGTCGAAACGGTGGTGGATGGCCTCCTCCAAAAGATTTCCTGAGCAGAAGTCTTTTTTGGATCTGGAGTTTTCGGAAAAACCCGCAATATTCCCTACTTGCCACTAATTGACCCACAGTTTTTTTTGCAGATTCGGAATCCTCTCGCAATTCTAGCTTAGAGATGTGACACTTAGAACATTGTATCACGTCATCTTTGTGCCGGTGGGAGAGCTCAAAGCGTGGGTGGTCACTGTGGACTTAGTTTTTTTGGCCCTGGTGGAAAACAATAACAAAATGAAAAAATTGACAAAAAAAAACAATTAGACTTGGCCTCATATTGAGTCCATATTGAGTCCATATTGAGTCCATATGTGTGGACTCAATAGTGAATGAAAACCATAACAAAAACAATAAAATTGACAAAAAAAAAACAATTAAGGAGACACAAAATGGACTCATTAATGGACTTGATAGTGGACTTGATAGTGTGGACTTGATAGTGGCCCCACTTTCACTAAGTGGCCCCACTTTCACTAAGTAGGGCCCGGATTGATATGTCTAGGTTACAGTGCAGGTCATAAACTCTGAAACTCTGCCAAAACCCTGCAAGAAATAGGTGCTGGTGCTGGTGCAAGGCTCACAGCTGTTGTGCATGTTGGGTTATACTGCATGCACCAGCCAAGTTTAGGAGGATAGCAGGGTTTGGGAATGAACAGACTTGCCAAAGCAGTAGCACATCTGCAATCAATACAAAAGGATCAAATATTATGAATTTTGCCTGAAAAAATAGAGAGACATTGCGGAACCCCCCAAAAGTTCTGTCAAGATGTGCCAAATGTGGCTCAGGATTGGATAAAGTAACCATAAATGTTGGACTGATTGTGGTTGACTGTCACACTGAGTTTGGCACAAGGTCACTAGGTTGTAAAATTAAAGTCCACCGACTGTCTGCAAGGCTGCAACAAAGCGGCATGATAGGGGCATGCATTGGCATGGTTCACAGGGGGTGTCATATTGCAAGGGATGTAAGATTAACTGGGGAAAGAACTGGCAGTCAACAAAAGGAAACCAGAATAATAATGTGAAACAAGAGTTCAGGAAGAAACAATCAACCCTAACTAACCAAACAGAAATGGGAAGACACAATCAACTGCAAGGAAGGCTTAAGCAAGAAAAGTAGGATGACTTGAAGTCTGTAGAAATAGGATCAAAGTAGAAGCTTGGAGGTGCCAAACGTCAGTCTGCCTTGCGTCAACTTGGTAAATGACTATTCCACCTACAGTGGAGGAATCCCATCTGCAGGACAATCTCCATCAAAAGCTCTTCCAGAGACCTGACTGTGGGCTGAAATCCAAGTGTGCGGCATTCTTTGTGTATTTGATCCAACTCCTCAAAGCTCGATTTCACAGGCCACCTCAGTGAGTCAAAGAAGACTAGTTAGCCAGCGACCTTTGGTGCCTTGCCTGGCCCAACCCAAGCCAAGTGACTGGCTCATATTGTACAGTGGGGTGACAAATGTTTTCAGCCACTTCAAAGTTTCTTATGACAGTACAACAATCAGTTTAACCTTTATTCTGCTTTCACAAACGCCACTGTGCGATTGGCGCACCCATTCAAGTTTGGAAGTATCCATCAACCAATTTCATCTAGGGTCTGCTAACTGCAGCAGTGGGGAACCCCAAACTCCACTTCATACCAGGCACACAATTTTCCGTTCTATATCACAAGCTTTGATATCCGCAAAAAATATGTCCTCCGTGCAGCAAATCCAAAAGATTAATGGATTGTGATGTGCTGCAATCAGGCTATTTGCCCACCAATTTTGATGGCAAATGGTTGAGAATTGATGAAGTTATTGCGTGGAAAAGAATTTGAGTGGTGGCTGAAAACCCTTGTCACTCCGCTGTACCAACACGATTCCTGAATCCAGTCTGTCATATATCACAGTACCAATACTTTGACATTTAACAACAAGACACAAGTCAAACATATTGAACCCAATGAAGCCACTCTTATAATCAATGTCTTGAAAATCAGTTTGCCTCAGCCCAAAAGCCAAATTCAAGTTGAATGAAATGAAGCTTGATTGCAGGGTTACGCCTGGTTTTATTTGTGAGTGACCTTGTTACATGTTTATTACTCCTTTATCACTCTTGCTGAGTCAGGCTAATGCTCAGCCGTCTTAGCTCATCTGGGAGAGCGTAAGACTGAAGTAGCCACATGGTCGTCTGTGCAGGGGCTCTCTGGCAATCTTAAGGCACCCGGTTCAATCCCGGGAGACGGCATGATACAGTTGTATCTGGCGCTGTAGCACTTTGGATTTTCTGCAGGGCAGACTGTGCAGCTGGTCAGGCCCAATGTGCCTTTTTTGAGCATTTCAAGCCTCTAAGCACTTTGATTGAAATTTTTAAATACTGATGTCCACAAGACTGGCAATGTTTTCTGTTCTTCCTCTCTCCACACATATGAGAGGGTTCATTTTCCTGTTGACTTGCAAGGTTTGAGCCTTTGCTCTCCTTTTTGTTACAAAGGGACTCAGCATGATTTTATTGCACAAATTTCACAGTGGTGCCCATTCTCAAATGCTCAGCATGGTGCCATCATATGATGAACTAAACAGCACAAGCGCTTTTTCTCTCAATTGTTGCATCATTTGATGGTGCTTGGAAAAATTCAAGAAAAATGAGTGAAAATATGCACTACCAGATTCAATATGTGCCTAAAGCACTAAATATCTCTTGGTAAGTGCTGCCAGTGGAGCCTGGTTAGCTCAATTGGTAGAGCGTGTGACTCTTAGTCTCCTGGCCTGTGCGTCTCGACACACTTGCCGGATCCTGCAATCACAAGGCTGTGGGTTCGAGAACCCCCACATCGGGCGCTTCTTCTTTTTTCTTTTTTCTTTTCTACTTTTTTCAGTTTTTTTTTTTTTTTTTTTTTTTTTTTTTCCTCCTCAATGCAACAGCCATCAATACAACCAGGAATGCACCATCCCTGAAGGAAAGTCGGATTCAGTTGGTAGAAATCTTGGACTTCCAGTTGACTTGGTGCAGTTTGCTCCAAGAAAAAAAAAAAAAAAAAAAAAAAAAAAAAAAGAATTGCCCAGGTGGAGGTCAAATGTCCAAGACTCCAGTAACTATTGGACAGTAGCCATTTTCACCTCGAAAGCTCACTCAAACAAATTGCATTGAGCTCAAAACATCTGTTCCATCCATGCCAGATCCTGGGTTATGCGCCTTGCCTCTGGACACGTCCAAATACGCCAGGACCAGCCAGTTGAAGCAAGGAACTACTGCAGCCCCACCTCAAGGGTTTAGACCACATGATTATGTAACAGTTAGCCACTTTCCTGCTCTGGGAATGGTGTCCTTGCCGCTGGCAGCTTCAGTACCTACAATCCTTGTATTAAACACCACTTCAATTACCTCCCAGGCAGGCGGGGAATCGAACCCCAATCGCCACCGTGAGAGGGTGGAATCTTAACCATTAGACGACCTAGGAATGGTGCCACTAGCTCTTTCTTCATAACCGGTTCCGTAAATTGACCAATCCCTTGACTTTGCAACAGTGTGGTTGTGCAGTGGGAAAGTGTGGCAGAAAAAGAAGGTTTCCTCCTACAAACAAATAATTTTGCTACCATTTATATGTTGGTCATGTGCCATGGCAAATCAGAAAGGTTCAAGGTCCTGTGTCCTATGCACAAGAGCGCTGTTCAGGTTTTGGCCGATTGGCCACTGTGGGGATGGATGAAGTACACTACTGAAGGTGTGGTGGTGAGGTTGAAGCTGATTTCTGTCTGCCTTGTGTTTGTTGCTATACAAAACTGCTACAAGGACCAAAACTCAATCTCCCTTGCACAAGGTGTCCAATTGCCCCACAGTGTCAGGTTAAACTTCCTGTACACTACTTACGCCAACAGACCCAAACCAAATAGGTGCATCAAAAACGGCTTGCTGTGTAAGACACAAGTTTTGCCAGTGACTGGAAGATTGGCTTACAATTGTACATCCTTCCCATCCCGACACAATTTTGCCCAAAGGTTCCACATCCACCTTCCACCAGTGAGTGGTCAAGGAGCTTGTGCCAGGCTTCCACAGCATTTGCAGGCCAAAACAACGAGCCCCTTGTGCGCCATCAAGGCTAGGTGTTAGAGCGAGCGTGCCAGGGGTCGAACCTGGAATCTCTTGATTCGTAGTCAAGCGCAGGTAACCATTTTGCCACACGCCCTTGGCTTGGTATGTGCTGCTTGCTGATGTGCCACCCTTTCTCGGAGCCTTACTTTGATTGCAATCTACAGGTTTGTTAAGCAGCTGCAGATCAGAAACTATATCAGGCAATTCTCGGCAGCATCAACTACCTGGCAACACACACGCGACTGGGGATCTCGCTCCAGCAGTTTTGGTATCTCAGTGCTTTCAGCAAAGATCACAGAGAGCAGCATATGAGAATTCTCAATGTTGCTGGCTACACTGACGCTGCCCACAGCATCTACTCAGATGGAAAATCACAGCTCAGCTACAATGTTCTTTTTGGAGGACCAACTATCATCTGGACATCTGTTCAGACCAGCACTGTTATGTTGTGAGTAACCCTGAGGAAAAATGACATTTGCACCGGTCCCAGTGCTATTGACACTTCTACCTGCATGAGCACTTGGAGGTGGTCTTGGCTGCTCTGGCCTCGAAGCCTCAAACCATTTTGCAGCAAGCTTCTGGTCCTTGAAGTCCAAATGAAACAGTCAGAGCTAGAAGGCTATCACAGCCACCCCAGCCAGCCTGCAGTGTGAAAGGGGGACCCACAGCAGCTCAGGAGAAGCATGATGCGCCTCAAAGTGTTGGGGCAAGATGAAGGTTTTGTTTCGAAAGGTTGACAAGAAACAAATAATTCCCAATTAGAAGGAGCAACAGTGGTTCAGTGGTAGAATTATCGCCTGCCACGCGGTAGACCCGGGTCCGATTCCCGGCTGTTGCAATCATTGTGTGATTGAAAGCTAAAATGTCAACAAAGCCAATCTCTGCCCTCTGCTGGAATCAGACCGACGATCTTATCCTTGCAAGGGCCGTGTGACCTCCTACGAGGGATACATTCTGCCAGCTGAGCAGAAGGCTCCCTAATTCACTGTTTTGCTAGCCCAACTCAAACTCAAGCAGCTTTGATTGATGTGCTGGCTGGTCTGCTGCAGCGGGCCAAGGCTAGGCAGTGTGAGCAATGCTTGTCCAGACAAACACACTTGCACACACAGATAAAGACCTATGCATGCACGCACACACGTTTGCACACATACACACACACAGTCACACACAGTGTGGCAAAGCTCAATGCAGCACTGTCCTGCTCAACCACTGCTGGCCAGCCTGAGGTGGGAAGAAAAACAACTGTGCCCATACAAAGTGATCCATGCACAACCGTCTCTCAGTGTATGTCTCCTCCACAAGGCCTAACCCACAAAAATGAATGAAGCTCCCCCAATAGTTTATAATCACTCCAGCTAATCATAAACATAGTAGAACCATTTTTGTTGATAATCCTTGGCTTCAAGGATTTGTAGAAGCTGAAGGATGCTTTCATGTGGGCTTTAATTCACGGGCTTTAATTCACGTTTGCTCAAATGTCATGCGCACAACGTTGGAGGTGTGCACAGGGGCCAGCCGCATCATGGCATCAAAGCAGTTTTGTGTGGCGTATGGGGCACCCTAATTCTGAAGCCCTGAAGCCAGCTGCCGTCTCCCGGGATTGAACCAGGTGCCTTAAGATGGCCAAGCCAACTGATGGGATTCCAGATGGCTCCTTCAGTCTTACGCCTCTCTCTCCTGATCGTCTACTTCCCTGTTCCTGCAGTTTTTTGTTTTTGTGTAAACTTTATTTATTAGGAGCGGGGAATTAGCTCAAATCGGAGAGCGCTCGCTTAGCATGCGAGAGGCACAGAGATCGATAACCCGATTCTCCAAAACCTGCTACGTGTTATGACAAGACACAACCAAAGCCCTTGGAAAGGAACAAAAAAAAACAAAAGATGAATGTGGGGGAAGGGTCTAGAGGGGGTCCCTTTGGTAAAAGCTGATGGAACTCAGCTTTCCATTCAGGGTTCAGTTGTTGTCCATATCTGACAACAGAGAGAGTGCTCTGGACAGTTGTTTGCCCTTTGCGAGGTGGTGCTGGGCAAAGTGCTGGCGAGGTGCTGGCAGGATGCTTCCACCCTGTCCCTTTCAATTTGACATCAGCCTAAACCGTCATCCTCCTGGGAACAGGCTTGCTGTTGGCTCTCAGGTGGCACGCTCACTGCCATGAAACTTTCACTGCTTCACATTTTTGTTCATTTCCACTGGACTGATTGTCTGTTGTTGTGAAACCAAAATTTTTTGGGCACTGATGTGCGCTTCTCTGCCCGAGTGTGTAAGGTCACATGGTGTAGTTGGTTATCACGTCTGTCTAACACACAGACGGTCTCCAGTTCGAGTCTGGATGTGACCACAGACTGTGTGGATGAGTTTTAAAACAGAATTAGTGCACTTGTTGTTCTCACCAAAAATGTCTGTCTGGCATTGAACTGACATGATTGTAAGCAAGAGAGCCCAGACAGACAGCCAGATTGCACCCACATTGAAAAAAAAAGGTAAAAGATTCATTGAGAAAGACAAAAATGCCTATAAGAAAACAAAAAAAGAACATAGGAGGAAGAAAACTTCAGGAACCATATCAAAAAGGGAATAGTGTTGATTCCTTGATAATTAAAACAGGAAAACTTTGGGGACAGGGCCAAGACTTGCATCAGTCTGGAAATTATGTTGTTTCTTTCTTTCCAACCAACGCACATCTGCTTGGGCAGGACATTCTCTGATGCAACGACAATATGATATCTACTTAATTACTGTTCAACTTGGCACAAATTTGTTAAGTGTTGAGATTTGAGCCAAGGAAACCAACTTCCTATCGACGGTGGCCTCGTCGGCGCCGCTGATGCAACTTACACTCAGGAAAGCAGCAGTTTGCCAGATTCCAATGTCTGGGAAAGGAAGAAGTCCTGCTGGTCATTGAGTCTGGAAAGTTAAACTAGGCCTGAATCTTCATGATTAGCCCCCTGGCAGTCTCTAATTTGCATCAGAAACTGTTCAAGTCAGTCCCAAACAGCCCAGCATGGGCATTTTAGGTAGGCTCTTTTGCAAAAATTTTTTGGTCAAACACTTTTGCTTGGTCCATCTGTAAACAATCTACTCTGAGTGAGTAAGTGGAAGGAGTGAATGAAGTGAAGATGTGTGTTTGTGGGTGGTCCTTCTTCTCTCCAAACTCTGTTATGAATTATTGATACATGATGATGGTATACACGCTGTAATAGTTGCCCAGCCAGGTTGTCGGCATGGACACCCTTAGCAACGTTGAATCAATTACATGATGTTATCATTCCACTGGTTCCTCTGAATTGGATTTTTTCAGGATTATATCAGGAAATGGACCCGTTTGACCTAACCAAACTGAGCCCCCAAGCTTTAAACTACACACCTTTGTTGTTGTCTGCATGACCATTCTTGGCATTCGACGTATGTCCAGCTGCACAGCCATTTGGTAGTGGCCCATGCCCTCCCCCTTAGCTTATCTTGGACTGCCTTCAGACACTGAGTATTGTCACTGGTGCTTGCACAAGAACAGTACAAGTCGGACAACCAGTTTGCAGCGGAAGAGCGCATGACTGTAATGGTTTCTGCCTGGTGCCATCATGAGGTCCCCAGTTCGAACCTGGGTGGTTGGATGCCATATACTCAGCACTGAATGCTCATTTGTTCATTCCAAGCTCCTGCAACTGATATGCCCTCCACGTGTGACGCAATTTGGGTGGTGGTGCCAACTGCTGATAATCTCTTCTTTTGCATCAGCAAGCAGTGCCCA